GAATTTACCATTACTGTTGGGGGCTAGGGGTTGTATTTGGTCCTTTAAACCTTTACCAGGACAGCTTTATGGGACCAAATCCTAAACCCTGTTTAGAAGTCTTATTTCTTTTTGAACATGTTTTCAGAAATCACTGATTTTCAAACAATCACAAAATTTATGAGAATAATCCATCAGTCCACAATTCCTCCAGCAGAAATGTGCTGCTTGATTCTGAACCTAAACCAAAGCCTGACACACACCAAACCTCTAAACCCACAAGCCCTCTGCTAGATGAAAACTGAAAAATGAGTCTTCACAATTATGCAAATACACACACACACACACACACACACACACACACCAGAATTTAAAGAGAAAGAGCATTAAAACTGAAGCACACATCGTTTTATTTTGTTGGATCCATGTATGGATTTGTTTTTACCAACCTGTCTAACAATACTGTAAAGTCAAAAATCAAAGCCACGTATTTTATTATTTTATCTACAGGAAATCCATCAGCAACCATTGAACTATTGTTAAAGGGACTTTACAGAGTTTTGAATTTTTATGCTCGTGATTGCCCCCTCAGGCCAAAAGCGTAACAGCAGCTTCAATAGTAGGCTCGTGCACGAGGCGCGCATGCTGTACGTGCACACTCCTTAACGAAAATAACAGCTGAGACAGTCCCGTGTGTGTGTGTGTGTGTGTGTGTGTGTGTGTGTGTGTGTGTGTGTGTGTGTGTGTGTGTGTGTGTGTGTGTGTGTGTGTGTGTGTGTGTGTGTGTGTGTGTGGCCGGGAGGACAGAGTACAGGAGAACGTGCCGCTAATTAATTAAATAATTTGGTTCTGTACCTTTCTCTTCAGCACAGCCGACAAAGGTTTATGATGGGTCAGTCCTCCTGCATGCTCAGATCATTCCCTTCCCTTGCTTGAAAAATTGTTCCAAAATGAAAGTTGAACCCACATCTTTTTTATCTGTGAATTCAATGCCGTTCGGCGAGTCTCAAATAAAAATTTGGGCATCTTACTGTAAAAAAATATACCATTAATGTAAAAAAGAAACTCTAAATGAACTATGTTCACATCCAGAATGGAACCCAGGTCTTCTGCATGGGAGTCAGACATCTTACTAGGTGAGCTAAAGCACCAGTGACATCACTTGTATCTGTAACGTTTACATCCTTGATGACAGCTGAAACAACGTCAATCCAAAGAACGGTTCGGAGTGAAAATGGCTATTTTGTTGCTAATTTGCAGGAAATATCTAGAAGAAAGCTCTACAGAAAGTAGCTAAGGGTCCTCAGAAATGTAGCTAGCTTTGTCACTAGGCGTTAGGAACAGCGACAAAGTGGCACTGCCTCACTCTCTGCTGCTAAAGCTACGGATAGCAAATGTTACGGGCGATGCCTGAGCGTGAACGCGCATGAAGCAGCCTGCTCGACCCGAGCATCTCTCTTTTTCTGTGATTTTACAGAAAAACAGGCAATCACAGTAAAAATGCCAGGGCTCATTCTACAGGACCAGGGCATTGCAGGAGAATGTATGAAGAAGACATTTATTATTTCTGTACACGTTTTGGCTGTCAGACTTCCATAATGTCCCTTTGAAGCCACTTCTTAAAAAAAACAAAAACACTATGGCACCATCAAAATGTGACTCAGCAGCTTTTGTGGTAGCAGCCATGACTCAGGTGATAGGGAGGGTGGACCACTAATCAAAACGTGGGTGTTTATACCTGACAGCTACATTCCCTCCAGTGCTCAAGACTCTGAAATCCAAATAGACTCAGTTGCAGGGGAGTAGCTTGCAGGGCGGCTCTAACACCATCTGTGATTTTGTTCAGAACTGTGCGACAAAACATCACGTAGAGCTTTGCTGAACCATGCATTTACGTCGCTCTCGAACACAAATAAGGCGGTGTGTGTTTTGCTTCTATTTATTTACAATATAAATGAAAGTAAAGTCCCGTAGGTTAATAACAGTCGATGCTACAAGAAGCTCCTTATTGCATTGATTCTCCTTTATGTATTTGTTTTGCAACAGTGGAAGCTCCAGAGAAACACACACATTAGTAATATTGACTTAACTGTTACTTCAGCAGTTGTTGCTTAGGTGGCTTGTTCAGTCATCCTCTATTTTGCCCCCTCAGGTGGGCTTGATTGGAGCAATTTAGCACCACACACTCACATGCACTGTTGCACTATGGGAGATTTTTTTCCTTATTAACTTTTGTTTATTCTAAAAGCTCCCTGATATAAATCTGTTCAGAAATAAATGGGTAAGACTGGCTTACTTGAGATATGCTGGTCCAAACATGGAAACGTAGCACTTGGAAACGGGCTATAAAGCTTTTTCCAGCAATATGACTATCCATCTGATATTGTTGGAAATTCCTGATGAGTCATCTTAACATGTCACATGAAGCCCTGCTTTCTACTGGACATGTAAAAATAACTCTGCATCAACTGCTGTGGTGTTTAAAGACTGGGGCTCCTTTAGGACTTCAGCAGCACTCTGACTAGCCGTTAGCTCATCAATACTGAAGTACATAAACCATTCCGCTCAACGGACATGGTTCTGAAAGCCATCTACAACTGGTCGTAATTAGGGTTCACTTTTACACAGAAACACACATTTAAATGACCAAGTTGAGCATAAAAGCCAGAGTTAGGGCAGACATTTATGGTAATACTTCACATATCAAGTCATAAACAAAAACTGTATGTACATTTTCAGTTACTGACAGCCTAGAGTGACTAAACAACTTTGCTAATGTAAATTTTTTTCCGCAGAGTCCTGGAGGAGTGGATGACTGTCCGTCCAATCGAGCGCTTCTCTCGCCCTCACACACACACACACACACACACACACACACACACACATACACACACTTCGAAGTTGCCAGTGCTACCTTTTGCTGCATGGCCACCGAGCCGTTTTACTGGAGCAGGCGCAGATTCAGCCAGCGTTCAAGGGCATCTCCATGGCCAGGATGAATGGATGAATGCTTCTAGTCCAGTTCATCTATATTTAGATCTCCCTCATCATTCTGAGGGGTTAAACTGATCACATCAGTCTCACAGTTTGAATCCTTCTCAAATCTACTGAAGTGTGGATGACGTTTCGGCTAAAATAATTAAAGCACCTTGGCTCTGTCTCACAGGAGAGCAAGATTAGTGCGCCACTTGAATAATTAGACAAGGAACAGCAAAATGAGATCCCTCTCCTGTTGTTGGCCAAATAAAGAACCCCAGCAGGTGACTAAACGCCGGAGGCAGTTACTTGACCAAACACAAGAGATAAACACGAGTGTCATAGCACCTTTCTGAGCCAGAGGACTCCAAAGCACTTTACCCTACAGCGAATCATTCAACCATTCACACACATTTACACCCTGATGAGCTACATTGTAGTCACAGCTGCCCTGAAGTGTACTGACATAGGTGAGGCTGTTGCGCACAGGTGACGGCGTTGCCTCCTACCACCACCAGCGGGCCAGGAGAGTATAGTGCCTTGCCCAAGGACACAACTGATGTGGATGGTGCCCGGGTTTGAACCAAGGACAAACTCTGCCTGCCAAAAGAGAAGCCAACGCGAAAGTGATACAAGATGCAGTTCCCCACTCAGCCACTAGGGGCTGGCTCCAGAAATGGGCCAGTTCCTATTGACTCCCATGTTAAAAAGGCCAACTTCACAGCAGAAAACACGTTTACAGCCTGGTTCAGAAAACCATTTTTGGTTTATTAGGACAAGTTTACTGCCATGACAACTCTGAGGGGTATGCATTTTTATAGCTCATCCATTTAGATGTAATTGAAGCTTGAAATTATGAATTATTGGGGATGTGTCCTTTTGACTGACAGGTGTCAAATAAGTCTTCAGTGCAAGGGAAAAGGGGAAGGCCTCGGTGTTACAGCTGGGCAGGCTGATGGTACAGTAGAAGTTGCTCAACCTCAGATTTCTGATTAAAAGCACCCGCCAACCTCTGACAGCTTTGGCTAGCTCAGTTAGCTCATGGCTACGTTGGCTCAGCGTTTAATGGGTGTCAATTATCTGCCCTTACCCTCACAGCCTTGCTCTCAGCTCCATTTTTGTATTTTCCAGGAATAATGAGATGTATGGCATAGCCAAGATGGCGGAAGTGGAAACCGCCCACTGGGCTTTTCAGCGACCTACGGGTGATGGCACGAAGGGTTCGTCCATTATATATACGGTCAATGGTGGACTGGCAACCCACCGATGCAGGGCGAACTCTGACCCCTGAACCACTGGATGTATTTTAGAAATTCAAAGCCAAGTCAGAAAATTTACTTCATATTAAAAAATGTATTCTAAATATAAATAAAGTGACCTCTTGTGCATTTTGTGTTGGTATGGTTTAGTCCTTAGCCAAAACTCCAAAAAGAAAGTAAAATGAAAAAGTCTGTTTTCCTCTGAAGAAAGTTGTGATGAAGCAGCAGATCAACAGTGACATTTACAGGCAGCCTTAGTCTGCAGCTCCTTGTGTCAACAATCTCAATTACAGCCAGAAGAAGTGTAGAAACGCACCACTAAACCCGTCACTGTCCCAGTTTAATGCTGATCCCAGACCAGTTTCTGGGTTTCCACCACAGACTCAGCATGTGCGTGAACCTGACGCACATCCGTGATGGCTCATCTGATCATCCACTGACAAGGAAACAGCATCTGCTTTATTAAAGCCTTTTGCTCTTAAATAAAACAGACATCTAAACGTTACTGGGGGCTTGCCTGGCAGCCGTGGACTGGTGGGTTTCACTGGGACAGCGCAGCGGGGACGCCAAAAATGTCAAAATATGGGCAAAAGTGCGCCACAGACGCAGTCGAGGCGGCGAAGACCTTGTTGTTCGTGCAGCAGCGGCGACAAACAGCTGAGCTATTTCTTTATTTGCAGCCGCTTCGCCTTTCCTCAGAGACACCTGGATACGCAGTCGCGTCCTCACCGCCTGCGTCGGCGTGGCCGTCAGGAGGAAACAATTAAAAAGACACCCGGCGCTCACCTCTTTGGTGTTCACGATGCCTTTCACGTATTTTCCGAGGACCGAGTCCACGCAGAGGACGCTGGACAGCACGGACAGCCACAGGAGTCTCTCCCCGAACCTCAACTCCATCTTCCTCTCTCCCCCGCAGCCGCTCGTCTGCTCTCCTCTCCGAGCTCCCCAAGCCGATGCCTGCCTCTGTTCGGGAGCGCGCACGGAGGAGCAGCGCAGGAGGCGAGGCGCGTCCACACGGATTTCTTTTGGATGTTCGTGCACCCCCCTCTCATCCTCCTCCTCCTCCAGCTGCGGGATGGATGGCTGGTGGTGGATGATGGAGGTGTGTGTTCATTGGGGTGGTGGTGGTGGGTGCGCGCCCTGTTCCGCTCGTGCTTGACCACGAGACGCGTCCACAGTTAAAATGTCATCCCTGATTGCAATCATGTTTTCATCTGGAGCCGCGCGCGTTTAATGAACTGGCTCTGGAGCAGCTGATGCCCGGCCAGTGGGCGCCTGGTACAAAACCAGTTACATTAATATTCATCAGAAAAGGTCAAAACAGTCTGCAAGAAATTAAGTTTGCATAAAATATTAAGTTACTTCGGATATGTGATGATTAAACATAACCAAGTCAGACCATTTTAGACCCAGTCTGAAGGACAAAGTCGGAGCGGTTGAAAATAATTAAATGTTTTCTAAAGTGCAAAAATTGTTGGTTCTCTACACTGGCGGACCTAGAACAAAGGTTGAGGAGGCAGAAAAGGAAAATGCAGGCGCTGTTCATAAAATTAGAAGATCACAAAAGTTGATTTATTTCATTCAAAAAGTGAAACTTGTACATCAGATTAATTCTTAACAGACTGATATATTTCAAATAGTTATTCCTTTTAATTTGGCTGATTATGACAACTAATGAAAATCCCAAAATCAATATCTCAGAATATTAAAATATCAATTAAGACCATTGCAAAATAATAAAACAAATAAATAAATAACATTTCAGAAATGTTGGCCAACTGAAACGTTTGAGCATATGAGCGTACAGCAGTTGGGGCTCCTTTGGCCTGGATGTGGAATGGAGTCGATCACTCTGTGGCACTGCTCAGATGTTATGAGAGCCCATGTTGCTCTGATAGTGGCCTTCAGCTCTTCTGAATGGTTGGGTCTGGCATTTTTGCTTCTTCCTCTTCACAATACCACACAGATTTTCTATAGGTCAGGCCAGTTTGCTGTCTAATCAAGAACAGAGATACCATTCCATTTTTGGTTATTTTTTAAAAACACAGAAAACGTCTCTCTTTACCTTGCTGACAGTTTCGTTTGCGGCTGCAAACATCCTCAGAGCTGACGCTGATGGTGGCGTCACTTCCTACTCTGTTTATGAACGAAGCAAGGTAAGGAGAAAATCTTCTGCGTTTTAAAAAGAACCAAAAATGGAATTAAAAGTCAAACACAGCAAGAACGTACCAAAGATGTTTAAAGAGATACCATTGTCCTTAAACCAGGTGCTGGTAGTTTTGGCACTGTGTGCAGGTGCCAAGGTCTGTTGTGTTGACCTCGAACCTCAGAAAACACAATGGATCAAACCAGCAGATGATATCTGACTGGAAACTTCACACTGGACCTCAATCAACATGGATTCTGTGCGTCTCTTCTCTTCCTCCAGACTCGGGAACCTTGATTTCCAAAGAAATACAAAATTTACTTTCATCAGAGAACATAACAGCAGCAGTGGCTCAACAGGTTGAGTGGGTTGTCCAGTAATCAGAAGGTTGCAGGTTCGATCCCGGCTCCAGACAGAGAATTCTGCTGTTGTGTCCTTGGGCAAGACATACGTTGCCTGCTGGTGGTGGTCGGAGGGACCGGTGGCGCCTGTGCTCGGCAGCCTCGCCTCTGTCAGTGTGCCCCAGGGCAGCTGTGGCTACATTGTAGCTCATCCCCACCAGTGTGTGAATGTGTGTGTGAATGGATGAATGATACACTGTAGTGTAAAGCGCTTTGAAGTCCTTACTCTGAGAGGCGCTATACAAGTGCGGATCATTTATCATTTATAACTGTACAAATGTACAACAAAATTGACTGAGCTCACTAAAGACAGCTCACATAAGAGGTAGAAAAATATGAGTAAACTTAAATAACAAGGCTAAAGTAGAAGTCACACACACACGCTCTCTTTCTCTCGCTCTCTCACACACACACACAGCTAGTTTAAGGTGCTAACATGCAAAAGTATATTGTTAGCATGGTAATAAGAAAAGCCTAAAACTACAAACTGAAATATAAAATGTAAACAGTCACATGTTGAGGTATCAACTAGCTTCATGTAAAGGTGCTGTAGTGTGTTAATTGTCCAGCAGAATCCGCTAGCGTGACCTCCATAGCAGCAACATTCTTTTCAGTGATGGCTCTTGCATAAAAGCTGTTTAACAGCCTGGTGGTGATTGTGTTTTATTGCACTGAACAAGAGATTGTTTACCAGACAGAAGAAGTTTGAAGTGGTGGTTTGGACTGCTCAGCAGCAGTCCAGCCCTTTTTGTCTTTAGCCCAGGCAAGATGCTTCTGTCTCTTGTTCAAGAGTGGCTCGACACAAGGAAGGCGACGGCTGAAACCATGTCTGTGTGGTGGCTCTTGAAGCACTGACTCCAGCTGCAGTCCACTCTTTGTGAATCTCCCCACATTTTTGAACGGGTTTTGTTTCACAATCCTCTCCAAGGTGCGGTTATTCCTGTTGCTTGTACACTTTTTTCTACCACATCATGTCCTACCCTTCGCCTCTATTATTGCGCTTGGACCCAGAGCTCTGTGAACAGCCGGCCTCTTTAACAAAGACGTTTTGTGTCTTGCCCTCCTTGTGTAAGGTGTTAATGGTCTTCCCCATGATTGCATACAGAACTGGACTGAGAGACCGTTTGAAGGCTCTTGCAGGTGTTTTGAGTTAATTAGCTGATTAGAGTGTGACACCAGAGATCTTCAACATATTCTAATATTCTGACATATTGAATTTGGGATTTTCATTAGTTGTCAGTTATAATCATCAACATTAAAGAAACACACATTTGAAATATATCAGTCTGTGTAATGAATGAATATAATATACAAGTTTCACTTTTTGAATGGAATTACTGAAATAAATCAACTGTGTCACGATATTCTGATTTTATGAGCAGCACCTGTGTTTATATCCATGTAGTATAGTTTTGGGTCATAACTTTATTAGTTATAATCTGTGTAATCAAACAAGCCATGTTCACATTCGTAAAGTCTGATTTGCCACAAGTATTTCTTACATTTGTTGCTGCCAGCTGAGAAGGCAAGGCTTTTTTTTGACTGGTAGTTGCCACCCTATGCCACCCCAGTAAAGCCACCCCTGCTTCTGGATCCGCAAGTGTCTGGTCCTTTGCTGGCTGCAGTCTGGGGTGAATCCCCAGTCCTCCCAGTTCTTCTTTATTTCCAGGAGAGAGATGTCCAGAACACACTTTACCCATATACAGTTATTTTTTACTTTATTTCAGTAAGAACCCCCCCCCCCCCCCCCCCCCCCCAACCCCAGGAAGACCGAGTCGGCAGCTTCAATTTATTTTGTTCTATATAGCAAAATACGGCAAAGAGGTCCAGGTAAATCACACAAGTCTGGACTCTTTAAATAACATCCAAAAGGTAATGGCATCATATTAAATACCCCATGCTACCCACTTACTGAGTTGGCCTTTCCTTATTGGGTCGGTTAGAGATTTACTGTCATTGTCACAAAAACACCCAAAATATGTTTTGAGCAACAACACTGCAAAGTTCCAAATAACCATTTAGCCCATTATGACATCCAATAGTAGCAGTTATAAAAAGCTCAGGGTTAGGGTTAGAAGTACACACAAATGGTGCAGGGCAGGGTCCTACTGTGTAATGCCGAAGCAATGAAAGGTGCAACAATACAAAGTCTAGTTCAAAATCTAGAAATACGACGGTTTTGACTGATCCCATTCTGCATGGAAAAATGTGAATAACAAGGGTGTGTGCATCTCAGGGGCGGATTTAGGACTGAAGAAGATCCGGGGCTCAACACACGCGCACGCACACACACACACACACTAGTCAACATCACATGTATTTGTCTTGTACCACATAATTTTTAATCTGAAGCTACATAATAAGCATATTCAGGGCAGAGTATTGTTCCTGTTAGTGTTTAGTGTGAGATGATAGTAAATATTCCCTTTCTTTCTCCAACAACTTTACCTGATAAGCTAACTTTAGGCAAACCAGCAGCACAACAAATATTTTCAAATAAGACTCACAAACCTGAGTCAGCACCAGTCTCATCAAAGCTGGGGTTCTGTCGTTGTACTTTTGGTCTAAAAGACGTCCTTATGTCCATCTTCACTCACGCGTTTCAGGCAGAGTGTAGAAGAAGCCGGCTGCTGAAGGGCTTCTTCTTCAGTGGTGGAGGCTCAGGCAGGCTGTATACAAACTATTGCCAGCTGCGCCCTCTCTGTTGGACTTTGGTACTGCATGTTACTTCCACGTTTGAGATCCGGGGCTTTTCATTAAACATTCGGGGCTTGAGCCCAAGTAGCCGGGCCTAACGCCGCCCCGGACCTGATTACAGGTGAAAAAAACCTTCCGACCTCATTAAAATGAACAAACTGTCCTCACCTGATAGAAAGCTGAGGGCCAGGATTAGTGACCCAGGTGAGAGAACAGGTCGTATTTGTCTAGTTTCTGTAAAATGTCAATGACCATTAAATGTTCAGTAACTGAAGAAGTTTTCTGGTGTGAAAATAGTTAAAATAACTGTTGCTGTGAACATTTCATTCATAAAAACAAATGGAACATGAATAAAAGCTTCCGATGATCAGTGTAATCACAAGATCCATTCATGAACGTGGACACAGCTCATAGGAGAATAGATTTATTTAGATAAAAATCAAAGACACTAGCATACATATCTGGTCTTGCGTCCTAATACGAAAGCTGAAAGGATGAATTAAAAATTGTGAAAGTAAAAATCTCTGCATGAATCATACATTCTTGGATTTTTATTCACAGGGTTGCACTTGTGGTATTTTCAGCAACAGAGCTTTAAAAAGACATTTTCATTCCACTGCTTGTTTTTGTTCCTCTCCTCTCGTTTTAATGGCCGGCTACACGAGTGTTGATGCGGCACGATTTTGCGTACGGAGTGGAGACGGGTTATCCACAGACTAGCACCTGCACTGGAGTGGTAACGGATAAGAGCAAAACAAACATCAGTCACGAGACGGGCTGCTGTCTCTGGTTCTGCTTCAAGCTTCAACCACAAATGCGAAATCCGCCCATCTCTGTCTAAAACATACGGAATAATTCTGAAATGTGTTTGAGGTAAATTCAACAAATGCTGCAATTTTACAGAAGAAATCTGACATTTAAAGTTTATAAATAGGCGGTTTTTTTATCTGTGATGACTGTCGCACACTGCTCCATCACTGCATTTCTGACACAGGAAGCGAAGAGAGACATGATGCTGGTGGAAAAGCTATGCAGCTGTTCTGCAACTGCAGCATAGCTGAAGCTGCTACCTTGTGGCTGTAACAGTATTGCACTTTTGTGGTTGATTACTCTCAATTAATTATAATTAATTCCCCTTAAAGCTGCAGAAATCAAAACAATCTGAAAGAAATCAACAACTTTGTCAGGAAGATTTCTATAAAAAGACCAAACCAACATAGTCCAATAGGATAGGATCCACTAATTGTGCTCGTGAAGCGCAACAGAACAGTTATGAGGCGTACGAAGGTCAATGCAACGGGTGGAAGAATTTCAGAGCCGTGTTCAGGACTTTTAAAATGAGGTGGCCCATATGGGGCACTTGTTTATGCATGGTGGCACCAATGGTTATGCTTTTTATGTATTTACACAAATCGTTTATTTTTTTACTTTCTTTATAATTTTTGAGTTTCACATTGCACAATCACCATTTTTTCTCTTCATCTTCTAGTTTTGTGGTGGTTAGCAAGTCACTTCCTGTTGCATTACTGCCACCAACTGGAGTTGAGTGGGACTCTAAATACTATTTATGTGAATATGAAAAAATAATAAATAATAATACAGAAATGTTCTGTAGGCCTGGGCTAGAAAACAATGTTAAAGGTGCGTGCTACCACACACCATTTTGGAGTTTGTCGACAATGTAAAGTTAATTTGAACTGGAACTTAGTGGGGTGGCACCTGGGGTGGCCAATCAGATTCTAAGGGTGGCATGTGCTACCCCAGGCCACTCCCTGGACACGCCCCTGAAGAATTTGACACTTTTTCATTATTGACGGGAATTCTATATCCCTCCATCTTGAAAAGCTCATGGACATAAAAACATCATCTCTCAACAAAAAACAATTGCTCTGAACAGCTTCTCGACACTGAAGAGACATCCTCGTCTTTGAGGACCTGACACAAAGAGGGTGCTTGTTTCCACACTTAAAGACGATCGTGTAAGAACCAAATTCATTTGAGCCTTCGACGGCAAAGTGGACGACAATGACACATATACAAGCTAGAGCTTACAATAAACTTGAACAAACCGACGGCAGCAAATGTGCAAAATGAGCAAAAAGACTAACACAGCAGCTATTAAAGCGGGTTCTAACCCTGGTTCCACATCTCAGAGAGAGTCTGTGTAACTTATTTCCATCAATCTGACTAAAAATATTACAGTAAGTACTTGAAGCTGACAGAAATGACTGTGGACTAATCCTGCATGGCTGCAGCTGAAAATCCTGCTCCTCTACAGGGGGAAGGATTTCACAGTCCGAGCGTCAGCTAAATCCCATTCATCAAACAGCGGGTCCCTCTCTGCAGACCTGGCAACCCCTGCTCCATTAACAGGCTGAAGGCTGAGCCACCAGTGTGGCGGCCGTGTGAGGGGAGACCTGATGTGACGACCAACCGTCTCACAGACATTTTTGTATACATTTAAAATACTCTGATGAGACTGTGCTCAGGAATGTGTCTCAAAGTTACACAAAAAAAAAATACTTCAAATATAGCAATGGAGTGTAAAACTATCCATGTTGAGTCTGCCGAACACAAGCCTGTGGCTTTTACAGTTTTTCTTTTGCTGATTTTCACAGCAGGGATCCTTGAGATTTGCCTAAAAGCGTCTCACTTGTGACAAAAAAAACAAAAGGGAAAACAAGCTGTCAGGTCAGAATCCCCACGCTGAGGAAAAGTGGTCCTTGGACACAATAAAAACTGAACAGAAAGACCGTGACGACTTGCGAGGAAGTCGGGTGTCGTCAAGTTTAAAAAGTGTAACGACAGCTGAGAGCTGGGCTTTTAACCGCTGCGCTCTAACGCCACCTCTCCAGGAAGAGAATATTAAACAACAGTTTCCAGACTTAAAATCATTTAAATAAAATGTAAATTAAACACATCCGAAAACCACAACTGAAATGTACCTGCGTTTGCTGGTTTTTGAAACAAACTCGAGGTGGACTTTGCTCAAGCAAAACTATGGTGTGAGATGGTTCGCAGAAAAAAAGCATGCAGGATAGTGACCATCTGTATTTGTCAGTAAGAGTCTTGTAGTACCGTCTTGTACGTGAATATGAAACATTGTGCAGGTTAGGATGGTATTTATGTGAGAATTAAAGGTGTAGAACATTTGTTTAATCAATACATTTGAAGTGGTCTCTAGTAGGAATGAATGCTCGTGGGGGACCGGTGCTAGAGATGCACCGATACGATACTGGTATCGGTGCCGATACGGATACTGATACCAGTATCGGTATCAGTAAAAGTTAACATATACCAGCAAATGATACCAATGCAGTTGCTTGAAAGTGACTTCACTGTAACTTGTCATTTCTGTTCAAGTAATATTTTAGTTTTGTGATCACTTATATTACTTTTTATCTACCTCACAGTCTTTTCCTATTGAAAACAGGAGAAAATAAAGCCTGTATTCCAATTCATAGCATTTTTTTGTGTGGTAGAAGTATCTGTATCGGTAATCAGTATCGGCGAGTACTCAGATCCAAGTATCGGTATCGTATCGGTTTGGAAAAAAGTGGTATCGTTGCATGCCTAACCGGTGCGCCACATCACAGCTGAGCTTCAGACAGCGGGCTTTGGAGTCTTACTTCCTGATGTTTGGACATCTCACCTCAGATGGCACTTCAGCTCTTCCACTGATTTGCAACGCTGATGTTTTTTCTCCACAAACAACACAAGCCTGGAGTTCTGCTGTGTAGTGAAGTTGCTAATGCTAATGGTTAGCCTAAACTAGCCAAGACGCTCTCTGCTATCTCCTGGACGCTAAACCAACAACAGCCTTCCCCGTCGTGAGTCCTGATGGGTGAGTCCATGAATGCTAAGTGACAGTGTGACGTAGATGTGTCAGGATTTTCTAATCCTAGATTTTCACCGTCTGTTTTCTATCAGAAGCTAAAGCAGGAAACAGGTGTAGGAGACTATTTTCATGTTCAGTCTGCATGAAATACTCAGAGTGACCTGTTATAATCAGAAAAAATTTTTCAAAAATGTTTTTTTTGTTTCACACATTTACGCTAAAAGCTGTGAGTGCAAAGCCTTGTGAACACAACTCTCATCCTCACGGCTTTGAAAAGACGCCACAAGGTAGTAGTAGTAGTAGTAATCGAACCCAGATTCTACCAAACACAACATGCGCTAAAGTCAAAGATGGCTGACGACCGTGTACCAGGTGGAGCGCCAGCAGAGAGGAAGCATCACAAGTAAAGTTAACGTGCGTATGCAGTATGCTTTAAACTGTTGTGACTTACTGCTCTAGCTTGCAGGTTGACAACATGCTAGCGATGCTAAGTTAGTGCTAGCATTACTCTAACACTACTAATGCTAGCATGTTACTAGCTCGAAAGCTAGAGCAGTAAGTCCAACAACTGTGTTATATGAAATTGTGCAAGTTTTTACCTGAGCTGGCAGCTCCATCCGGTCCGCTGTCGTCGGCCATCTTTAAATTTGGAGCATGTTTGTTGAAACTGTTTCCTCAAACCCACAAACTGTAGAAAATAGACTTGTAATCATCAGGCTTTGCACTCACAGCTTTTAGATTCACACTCCTAACAATAATCCTAACCTGCACAATTTCTCAGACTCACGTTTATGACAGCACAATTTTGTGTGCAACACATTTTTTGACAGACGAATAAAACAAGCGGTTACAATTCTGCACACATATTCACACGATACTAAAAAGGCTTGCACAATTCAAAAGGGAACACTTTGTCCCTTTGTAATAGTCATCATCTTCTCTTCCTGACACCATGTTTATCGAGCACTGGACTGAGAAGAGAAGGGTGTATCAGCAGCTGGATAAATAAACAGCATCTGTAAAACTATAGTAAACAAACAGCAATGGATTATGTTACATAGTACAGTTTAAACATGTCATTCATGATTATAACAGCAAATATAAACCGACACAAAAAACAACACCGGCACTCCTGATTAAAAACTGCAACACGGTCAAAAGAAAAGAGTTCATCAATTCCTCTGGTTCTGAGACTTCGATTCGGTCGCGTTTAGCGTTCTAATTCTATTTAGGAGAGTCAACATCGTTACGACCCACAAAGTGAGCTGCATTGACTGCCAAACAGGCATAATGGAGAGGACAATGTAGAGTTATTAAGTGTGATTTAGAGTGGATCCCTAAAGGACAAGTGGCCTTTTTGATGCGGAGCCTCAACACAGAAGCATACAGTGTGCCCACCAGTATCTGATTAAGGCTGCCATGAATCACCCATTCAGGCTTGGTCCTAAGAATGTTTCTGTGCTGCTTTATGTTTGAGCCTTTGCTCCTGTTGAGTGTGTGTGTGTGCGTGCGTGTGCATGTGCATATGCATGTGTGTGTGTGTGTGTGCTGGTATTTGATCTAAAACGCTTTAAAATGATCATCTCATTCTGAAAGCTGCCTGCCGTTTGTGGGTGTGTTCCCTCCGTCAGCAGGATTTGTGTTGGTGTATAAAGATGCACAGATAAGTGGCAGGAACTGTGAAGCAAAGAAAGATACACTTCAGCGCTCCACCTCTTTGTCTTTTCAAACACTAAGCAATCTTTCCGACTGCTCCCTCCCACCCTCGTTCCATTTATCAGGATACTCTCTTCGTATCTCATTTAGACATTGCACTGCCTACTTCGGTCTGACTTTCATTTCCTTTCTCTTTTCCCTCTTTGGGTGTTTTGCGATTCTTGTTTTTATTAAAACCTGACTTTGTTTAAGCACCAACGCCACCAGCGTCGGCGTTAGTCTGGGCTGCCACAGCAACTGAGCCATCCCCGTCAGACATTTTAGCCCCTTTCCCGACAGCTGGCTCTTCAGCTTCAACGGAGCCAACAAACAGAGAGCCCATTTCTCCTGAAGGAGCCGATACGCCCCTATCGGTCCGTTCCAGCTTGCGGTGTTTGCGTGGCTCTGGGGGTGTGTCCTTCTGGGTGAAGACAGTGCGAATTCGCTCCACGCAGACGTTGGTGGCCTCCTTCGTCTCCTTGGAAAGCTGCGATAGGCTGAGGAAGCCGTGGGGAAGGTCGTCCACTATGCATAGAGTGACGGGTTGGCCTGCGCTCCTCAAACGCTTGGCAAACATCACGGAGTCATCCAGTATGGGGTCTAATGCACAAGCCTGGAGTGGGGTGGAGAGAGAGGAAGGGGTTGTGGTGAAAAGCTAATTTAAATTTCCTCCAGACATGTCAAGAATCTCAATTAAGGGATGAAGAAAAGGACCATGAGTATCCCAGTCTCTTTTGTCCCTACTTTCCTATTAGTATTTCTGACTCACTAAACCACTTCAAAATCAGCACCAGATTCTTGACTGTCATGTAACACCCTCCTCTAAAGGAAAGAGCAGGCTTTAGCCTCACCTAGCTCTAAAACTCAAGAAAACGTTGTGTCGAGTTTGCTTTTCTCCAGGAGGGTTTCGGTGCTAAAACCCAATTCTCTGTTGATTCATTCTGGACGCCTCATATTCTAAACCAATAAATCTACTTTAAAGGGACATTATGGAAGTTTGACAGCCAAAACATGTATAGAAATAATAAATGTCTTCTTCATACATTCTCCTGCAATGTCCTGGTCCTGTAGAATGAGCCCTGGCATTTTTACTGTGATTGCCTGTTTTTCTGTAAAATCACATAAAAAGAGAGATGCTCGGGTCGAGCAGGCTGCTTCATGCGCGTTCACGCTCAGGCATCGCCCGTAGCATTTGCTATCAGTAGCTTTAGTCTTTGTCGCTGTTCCTAACGCCTAGTGACAAAGCTAGCTACATTTCTGAGGACCCTTAGCTACTTTCTGTAGAACTTTCTTCTAGATATTTCCTGCAAATTAGCAACAAAATAGCCGTTTTCGCTCCGAACTGTTCTTTGAACGTTGTTTCAGCTGTCATCAAGGATATAAACGTTACAAAGGATGTCACTGGTGCTTTAGCTCACCTAGTAAGACGTCGGACTCTCGTACAGAAGACCTGGGTTTGATTCTGGATTTGAACATAGTGTATTTAGTGTTTCTTTTTTACATTAATGGTATATTTTTTTTACAGTAAGATGCCGAAATTTTTATTTGAGACTCGCCGAACGGCATTGAATTCACAGATAAAAAAGATGTGGGTTCAACTTTCATTTTGGAACAATTTTTCAAGCAAGGGAAGGGAATGATCTGAGCATGCAGGAGGACTGACCCATCATAAACCTTTGTCGGCTGCGCTGAAGAGAAAGGTACAGAACCAAATTATTTAATTAATTAGCTGCGCGTTCTCCTGTCCTCTGTCCTCTGGGCCACACACACACACACACTGTCTCAGCTGTTATTTTCGTTAAGGAGTGTGCACGTACAGCATGCACGCCTCGTGCACGAGCCTACTATTGAAGCTGCCGTTACGCTTTTGGCCTGAGGGGGCGATCACGAGCATAACAATTCAAAACTCCGTAAAGTCCCTTTAAGTACTTTATAGATGAAACGTGTTTTACCACTATGTGTACAGGAGGCAGTCCTTTCAGCATGCTGTCAGGAGCCAGCAGAGGAGAGCAGAACGGATCTTTGACCACTGGAGAACTCTCCACCCTCATCTCTGCCAGCTGCTCAGAGCGCAGTGGCTCAAAGCCCAGGGGAAACTCCCTGGGGTACTCCAGCTCGGATCCATCCTCTCCAACAGGAGGGGGGATGGCCACTGAGGACAGGTCGTAGGTCATGAAGGACTCATTGTCCCCGGAAAGGAAGAAACTCACATCTTCTACCTACATAAAAGAGAGAGAAAATATTCGTGTTTGTTTAGACTGCACTGAGAGGTCAAAGGAGAAGGTAAAAGCTTTAATATTTTCCCACAAACCAGCTCATATATGCAGACCCTGGACTTTGTCCCTGTAAAAAATGTGAAACCGTCGGCAGAGTGCAAGCCTTAACTGAACAATCCAAATTTGAAGGGGAAACGGCATATTGAACATCTTACGTCACCGCTTGCTATTCTTTCCTCAGAACTGGGCTCCAATCCAATCTGTCTGTGATAAAAAAGCCGAGGATAATCTGCAGCCAGAAAGTTCGGATTTTCTGCAAGCACTTTGTAGCTTAATCCGTTTGTGAGAGATTTAGAAAGAATCTGTGCAGAGATCATCAAAGGTGAAGATGCTCAACTCTTTCCAGGTTGAAAACCAAAATATTTCCATGCTGCAAAAAAGTTAAAAAGGCCGAGGACGTTTTTCTGCGGCATTTCCCCCCACGCTGCTTGAAATGTTCTCCACGTCCCGATGGTAACCGATAAATTTTTAAAAAGTGAATAATTTTAATAACCTCTGAAATGTACAACCTGAAAAAAATCTCATCCAATCATTCTAAACTTTAGTGATTGGATCATAATCCATTCATCCAATCTGCCCACTGACTGTTCCTCCCCCCTTTACGAATAACCCCCCCCCCCTTTTTTTTGCACGAGTTCTCAGCTCTGAGCAGCCAAACAAGAAGCAAAGCCAGGGCTGTCTAGTGTAACGGGATGCAACGTTCCATTCTGTTTGCATGCTCTCTTTTCTTCTGTTCATGTTTGGAAATGTTTAGGTGATGGACCTGTTGTCTGTGAACGCAGCCGGTCCTCTGTTAACTGGCAGAGCTGTTTGTTAGTTTGTTGCCTTGTCTACACATGTGTGGGGAGTTGTCTGGGATGGGTTCTGGAAGTTGCCACGTCTTTCATCATAAAAGTGCCACACATTATCAGACAGCAAACTAAATTGTTATACGGTTACGTAGCTGTGTTGCGTTAGGCATCAACGGGTTGAAAACGTAAAACTGAACCCTCTGGAAAAAGCATAGGTTCTGGTATTTTGGAGGTGTTGCCGGACGATAGTGGATTGGATCTTTGACCTGTGTATTTTGAAAAGGTAACTTGCTTGAACATGAAGAGAAACTATTTCTAATCCAACTGAGTGAAGCAAGGAAGAAAAAAAAATCAACTATCGGGGTTTACTCCACTGCTATGGTCCTACAACCATCGTCACAATACACGTTCCCCAAGCAACAAACTAGAGTTTAGCTGTATAACTGAGTGAACACTGTCCAGATAAAAGCTTCTTCGAGGGAAAACTGATGTGGATATAACCAAGCGTGACCTACAGCGTGCTCAGAGATCAACGGCGTGCTTTGGGGAGTGGCATTGTTGTGGGATCCCAAGTTCTGGCATGTCTTGCTCTTCACTGATAATTTCCTGCTGGGGAATTCGGATGGTTTGTTTGGCACAGGAGGGTCAGCGTGAGGCGAGGAGATAGAAGCCGCTGAAACGCTTTTCCTCACAGTATCTAAGGACCAAAATGAGACAAAGAGGAAATCATCACACAAAGTATTTGACACATTATTCTCAAAAGAGGCCAGGGCTCTGGTTCACCTGGGACTAATGGAAGTTTGGAGGACATGAAAAAAATAAATCAACACTAAGTAACTCAGAAACTCACTCTACTGTTTTAGCTTCTCACACGTCCTCTGGTTGACAGCCAACAGTTAAAAGCCTCAAATGTAAATTGGGATATATCAGGAAGTAGAGAGAGGAAGTAGGTGGAGGAAACTCAAAAGGAGCTGTCAGTGTGATATCATCTTCTCTCCCTGAGGTGTCAAAACACGACTGTGTGCCTTCACGGCTGGTCTCCCTACAAAGGCACCGCCGATCTTGTGTTTTAATTAAGAACCATCTCAGCACCACGATGGCCTTTTAATGATATACACCCACCTATGACACTCCCATTAGGTTGGGCTTGCAGCTGTAAGACCGTCACCAGTAAAATTAGAATTCCCTTCGGATCTACGGTGACTACAATTAACAATTACTGTCAAGGGCCTTGCTGCTCCAACAAGGGCAACTGATATGAACGGGCTACACGAGGTACCATGCAGCAGAGAGGGGATACGACAATAATTGGCTAGTTTGACGCTGAAGAACAGGGATCCACATCAGTGATCTCCTCCATACCAGCTGTAAATAAACTTTGAGAGGCTAATGTTGGATAAAGAGCACTTAAACAGGTGTAAACATACACTGAACAAACACTGCACTGAACTTAATTTACTCCAAACTGCCAAATCTCGATCTAACCACAATGATCTTAATCAAGGTTTAACACCATATTTAGCTTCATACAGCATTGTGAAAAATGGACGATAAAAAATTCCCAAACCAACTTATGTTGAAAAAACACCTCCCCTCTAAACTTACTAACAGCTTTTAATACCCATGACAGATACAGTTGAAATTAGGGGTGAAATATTGCGATATTTTAGTGTTTCAATATTTTCTTATATCCCTAGTTGCAATCAAGCGACCATGCTATCTAGTAATGAGTCTCTCACTTTGCTGTGGAGGAAATTCGTACCGCTCTTCTTTGCAAAATTCCTTTGTTTCATACACAATGAAGAGTTTTCCAGCATGAACGGCCTGTTTAAGGTCAAAGGTCAGGCAGTCTCCACCAAGATACTCTGATAAGAGAGCAGAGTTCCTCATTACATAAATTACGGCAAGTGGTCCAGGTCTTGAAACAGCAAAGTAGCTGCAAAGCAGCCCCAGACAGTCACATATCCACCATCATGTTTGACCATTTGTACGACGTTCTTTCTCTGAAACTAGCTGTTGGCTTTACTCAAGTAGTAACAGAACACACACCTTCATAAAAGTTCTCCTTTGCCTCGTCAGTTTGTTGAAAGTCTTTCAGATTATAAAATGTATTTATTTATTTAAATATTTTCATATTTTTGGGCTAAATGTGGGAGAAAACATTTTGTTCGTTTTGGTCAGCAGATGTTTGTTTTGGCTCGAGCCTGTACATCCCGGACAAGCCCCCATTTAGTTACAACCTGACTAAACTTAATTTAAGCAGGATAATGTTTTAGCCTTGGAACTGTTTCATGATGCCATTCTGCCCCGTCTCTTTTAAACTGCTGACCTCTGACCTTAACCTGAACTGAGGCCTTCAGTATGTTATACGCATAGGCGTCATTTTAACCGGGGACGTCGGGGACATATCCCCGGCAAAATTTGTGATTGGCAGCTGAGTCCCCCCCACTTTCAAAAAATGAGTTTTTTTTAACCAGCTCAGATCGTAAACCTACGTCTGCTCCCAGCAGATTTTTTTAATGTTGCAACTGGCATCTAATTATTTATACTTGAGCTTTAAATAAAAATAAAACCGTAATCAATTAATTAATTAATTTGTAACATTTCTGAAAAAGTGCCCTGCGTTATGCTGAGTTCTCTACCCTGCTGCCCTGCATGCAGCTGTCAGCAGTTGTAATAAGCAGGAGAGCACGTCACCCACACTGCTCAAGAATCCATTATTCTTGTTTAGCTCCAAGAGGTAAGCAATGTTATATTTTATTTAACACCATAAGAAGGTGATATTTTTATGCGATTAATGCAGGGGTCCTTCAGGCGTGCTTACAGCCACCCCAGCTGTTAGCATGTAGCTGGTGGAGGTGAGTACACGTGAGCAGAATAATATGTTAAGTCAATTTTAAGTTGAGTTAAGTAGCTTTTGTGACTTGTTTTTGACATGCGAGGGCTCTTGGGAGTGTTCTGTGAGAAGTTTAGCTGTAGCTTTAAAAAGAAAAGCAAGTTATATGGGTGATAATGCTTCGATTAGCGTGTTGCTAATAGAAGCTAACTTCTCGTGAGTGAGTGTTAAGTTGCTTCGCTGTCTTTTTAACCTGAACACAGTGTGATGCTGGCTAACACACATTAGCCACGTTTACATGCGCAAAATCTCCTCTATCCGATGAAAATCTTGGCTGCTCGGAAATCCCAAATGTCTGTTTAGATGGACACTATTTTATGCAACAAGCAATCCAAATAAATAGGTTGAGCATGCGCAGAGTTGTCTTTCCCGCAAAAGATGGTAAACAAATGCCATGAAACAAAATGAAAAGTGTATTAAAATCAATGAATCCGGTAGTTCACGGACAGCTAGGTTGTCGGAGCGTGGAGTTGACCAGAGAGTGGAGCCTGATATAAAGATGAGTATTTTTCTCTGAAAATCTAATTTGACAGTCACAAATAATATAACAAGGATATATATAATATAATACAATAATAATAATAATAATACAAGATCTTTTTTGCTAGGCTAGCTATATGGATGTAAAGATTCCCACTTGCTTACAGGCTAATGGGGGGGTTTCAGTGCCATTGGAAAAACAAAACAGGATTTTTAATAACTGTCAATACACTACTGTGCGTATTGGAGTGAAACATTAAAAACTGGTGAATACTTAAATATGCTAGCCTATTTAATGATTGTCCCCAGCAATTTTTAAACCCCACTCAAGTGTATGGTTATTGTGCCCAGCAATTCTAAAAACAAACTGACGCCCTTGGTCATACGTCATTTCTTCTGTTACTGAATTTCGTTAGAGCAGGCTGAGCGTGATGCGTTACTTTTTGTGATCTTTTAGCCTACTTCATGCTGTCAGGCAGGTTCTATTAAAACAATTAATTCTACAGATCGGGCAGTAACAAGATCTTGGCTATGAAACTGAACTCATCTTTCCAAAATATTGAGGTAAATTAGTTATTCGATAATTCAACAAGCAGGGCGATTAAGCTTTTCACTTACTCTTAATATATGAAATCATCATTTGAAAACTGCATTTTCTTTGTCTAACACTGAAATCTGAAACATTAGTGTGACAAGAAAGGCAAAAGGAAAAATTTTCACTGCACTGCATGTTCACAAATCAAGGGTTTACATTAACAAAAGATCCCACCAACGACGCAAAACCTAGAAGAAAGGAAGACGGGACTTGCACTCTCAGAGCAACTACGAAAAACTTTAAACATAACAGCTGCCAGCCATCATGTCTCCTCTAATGATCCTACTTTATTACGCACTCACACAATCCTACGCTACACAAACACACCAGTTGCCGGTGTGTCAGAAGCTCCCGACGGTTCCTCTGCAGCTGTGCTGGAGGAGGCTGAAGCTCTGTTGGGATCCAGCAGAGATTGGATCCAGTTGGAGGCTCCCTGTCGGAAATCTCGCAGCAGCAGCGCTGTATCTCTCCTCACCAGGCTCAGTGTGCTCACTTTTTCTACCTGCTTCTCAGTCTGTGGCTCATTACCTGGAAAACGGAAAAACACAGAGAGGAGAAAGAAATATATAAATATATATTCGCTGGGCACCAATAGCAAAAAAAAAAAAGAAGACAAAGCAATCAACGAAAACTTGATTCTCTTGTCATAATAAAAGAATCAAACAGTGTCAGTGGGGGTTCAACGGTGCCACTGAGGTACTTCTATTAACACTGAATATGCACAGATGAAGACGCTGGATGGGAACAGAAATATGTGAGCTTTGGAGACGGTACAGGTAATATCTGTCAATGTTCTGTATCAGCTGCTACTCGCTGCTGTCTTACGCACTCATCTCTCGTTCTTCCTTTAAAAATAAATCCCAGACTTAGAAAAGTCTCCCCAGCTTTTCACAACATTTATAAACTACAAGGGCAAACACTCTGGCCCAGCTGCGCAGGGCTGCTGCTGAGAAGGAGTTACGCTGTTATCTTAGTGCTGAATAAATATTTAGGTAATTATGTGTTTTGATAAGATTCATCAGCACCAAGGTACTTTTTGTCTTCTATAAACTATAAACAATAACGTTGTTTACTAAAAACACTGCAAAAGAGATAGATTCAACAGCAGCTGAGAGGGTTTTGTAATTTACAAGCTTCTGCAAAAGTGAGCTGGGTATCTAATTAGACAATGAAAAACGAAATTAGATCATAAGATAAAAATCCACACAGAAGTCGTACCTGCGTAGGCACTGAGACACCTGGAGAGCACACTGAGCGGCAGCATGGGATCCATGAGCGTAAGCAGACGGGAGGGCGACGCGTAGGCCGTCAGCAAGGTAGCTGGATAGGCTGCCACGATACCATCTGGCATTCGCACACCAAAGGCAGCAGCCCGCATCGCAGTCGTCACGGACAGGTTTCCCCCCGCGCTGTCACCGGCCAAACACACTCTCTCTCCCGTCCATCCTGGAGAAAGGAAAGAAATCCACAGAAGTGAAGGTGGAGAAGGAAACCCAAAGTGAACAGCAGGTGAAGTGAAAGAAGCACACAGCAGTGATAAAGAAACCTTTAGTTTGTTTTAGATAATTAAAAATACACACTAACACCAACAATACAACCATGTCTTTTCTTTGACTGCGTTTTCAATTCAATAATACTTTATTAATCCCAGAGGGAAATTAGAGAGTTTTAGACTAAATCTGAATTATTTTTGTTAGCGGCCTGATTTGTCCACCTGAGCTGTAAAATGATGTTTTATTCTATAATCTATCTATAAGCTCCTGTTTGATCACTGCTGTCCAGATCTGATCACTTGTGTTTAACAGGAGGTCTGATTTTAAGGGATTCAAACGTGTTTCCATGGAGATGCTTGGACATTATGCTCAGACTATTGTCTCAATGTATTGTCTTTTCATTTTTGACAAGCACCATCAACTATGTCCTTTTATTTAGATGAAAGAGCGTATCTTTATCATTATCTTCAGTGAATTTAATGAACTAGTAAAAAAAAAAGCTTTGTCAACATCTGAGGGACGGCTCTGAATATTTTTAAAAACAGATCAAACTTTGAATTAAACTGAAATAAAGAAACCAGAAGGCTGATTTACTTTTTCTGGTCTTTAACAAATTTGAAACAATTAAAAACTAAAAGAGCATAAAGTAAGGTATGGAAGCATAGAGCTGCCAGTCACGCAAAAAATTAAAAGATTAAAGCAATATCACTTTTAACAATATATTACATTCTGACATATATATATTATATATATGTACATTATATCTGTATCTATCTATCTATATATGTGTGTGTGTGTATATATGTGTACACACACACACATATATATGCATTTATATATACAGTGGGGCAAAAAAGTATTTAGTCAGCCACCGATTGTGCAAGTTCTCCCACTTAAAATGATGACAGAAGTCAGTAATTTACATCATAGGTGCACTTTAACTGTGAGAGACAGAATGTGAAAAAAAATCCATGAATTCACATGGCAGGATTTTTAAAGAATTTATTTGTAAATCAGGGTGGAAAATAAGTTTTTGGTCACTTCAAACAAGGAAAATCTCTGGCTCTCACAGACCTGTAACGTCTTCTTTAAGAAGCTTTTCTGCCCTCCACTCGTTACCTGTATTAATGGCACCTGTTTGAACTCATTATCTGTATAAAAGACACCTGTCCACAGCCTCAAACAGTCAGACTCCAAACTCCACTATGGCCAAGACCAAAGAGCTTTCGAAGGACACCAGGAAAAGAATTGTAGACCTGCACCAGAGTTGAAGTGCACCTATGATGTAAATTACTAACCTCTGTCATCATTTTAAGTGGGAGAACTTGCACAATCGGTGGCTGACTAAATACTTTTTTGTCCCACTGTAAACACACACACACACATCCATACACATGTGTGTGTTATCATAACGTAAAAATGATGCTGTTAGAACAATGAAGTAATTTAATAACGTGATATCGCTCAAATTTTAATTTGCATGGGTAATTATGAAACCTAATCCTGTTTTTAAAATATTTTAGGTTCTTATTTTTACGAAAAAAGGGACAAACTAATTTCATCATAAATTATTCCGTATAGAGAGATTAGTAATACTAATGTCATTTTTATCTGGGGGTGGGCAATATTGTTGTAGAAAACTATTAAGTTTTAGAAGAAGAAGAAGAAGAAGAAAATATAATTTCTATAGCGCCTCTCAAGATAAAAATCACGAGGCGCTTCGAGCGGCTGAAACTCTGAGAGGCTGCAGGCGCACCAGTGTTAGAACATGTTAACAAGATTCTAAAGTGGAAATTGTGAAAATGTCACACTGTGTATAATGGAAACCATTATTATGGATACCATTTATTATTATTTTTCCCTTTATTTGCTCAAATGTATAATCTTTACATCCATTATAAATTCATGCAGTGTCCTTATCAGAACAGAATGAACCACTATCCAAGTTCCTCGCACCATTTTAGACGTGACACACTCAGAACTTGATGGCTTTAGTGTGTGTTTATAAAATAAAAGCAAGTAATTCCAAATGTGTTTCCTTAGGAGTGAATTTTAGATTTAGTCAGATAAAGATAACAGTGAGTTTATGATTCTCACAACAATTGGGTTAATTACTAGCTGCACAAGGTAGCTAGAATCTGGAGATATAATATATATCACAACACAGAGTAGACGATACAATATTGCAATACTAAAAGCCAGAAGAAATTAGCAATTTTCAAAACAGATTTTAATGGGAAAACTCAAGTCAGACTCTTCCAGTGTTTTTGCGAGGTTTCCTTGTTTTATCAGGATGAAGGACTTAAAATCTGCTGCCACCTAGCCGTCGGAGTTTGAATTGCACCACATAAAAGAAACACAGTAAATGCACGCAAATTATACAAATCGACAAACTGCAATTTTTTTAGTGTATCTGTATTTTGCTACATCCCTATGTCTCTAATTTCCCTCTGGGATTCTCTAATTTCCCTCTGGGATTAATAAAGTATCCTTGAATTGAATTGAATAAATGTTAAAATTTTTTACAACGTAGGGATATAGTACAGCTACACAAAAATCCAAATGACCGTGCCTTTCCTGTAAAAGTATAATAATGATATGATGCTTTTGCCATATAACCCACCCCTAATTGTGTCTACAGCACTAGCATGTTTGAAAATGTCAGAATTTAAAGTGCATTTCCTTAAAAGCTACAGCTAAACAGACAGGACAGAAATGATGTTGTAAATATTGTGGTGATTATACCGAGCAGGTGGTGGTTTCTGAGAGCCCAACAGTAGGCGTAGAAACACTCCTCAAGTGCCCGAGGGAAGGGTGCTTCAGGAGCCAGAGAGTAATCCACTGATAGGATGGGAACACCGAGGTCCTGGGACCAACTCTTTAGGTAAGGCTGCACAAAAAAACACGCATACAGACAAAGTATCAGTGTTTTGAATGTGTGAAAAAAATTGGAGCATTTATTGTGGAGAAGGAATGGGTGAACATTGAGATACAAGGAAAAAGTGAACATTGTGTCCCTCTGATGTCGTCTGTCTGCTTTTTTTGGCTCGCTGACTGAACAAATGGATTGAGAGCTGCCCTCACAGTCACCTCTATTTCCTCTCCTTTGATACAGTAATAAAAGTGGCCTCATGCCCTACTTCACACAGTGAGCAGAAAAACAAAAAGGTGTTACAAGCAGAATCTATAAAAACACTCAGGGACAGAATGCAGAGTGTTTCCGGTTAGGTGACCTTGGAATATGCTTAGAGGTTTTAAAACTTGTTTGTGACACCTTCATTTTTTCTTGACAGATTTCCCCTTTCCTCCTCTGTACCTGTGTGTAAGGCTTTTTGACCGCTGAGACAGTGACTTAAAACAAAGTGACAATGCCAGGAAAAGTAGGGTGTGTATGTTTGTATAGCTAGGGCTGGGGGTAAACGATTATTTTTAAAACGATTATTTTGACGATTATTTTATCGAATTGTTGACTATTATAATGACTATTTAGACAATTAATCTAGTGATTATTTTTCTATTGCACAGTTAATAAAAACCAAAAAATCTCTAATAAATTGTTACTGTAAGACAGGCCTTCCATTTTGTATAACACTGCTTTTATTGGTTATGTTGTGGTGACGTGTAGAACTTGGGAGTGCAGGCTGCTGCCTGAGAGGTGGTTGGAGACGGAGTGTCTCCATGCTGCTTTATTTTGGTCACTTATGTGCGTGAGGCGAGTGGTGTTACGACTCTTCCTGGGGAGTTTGGCTCGTGTGCAAAAAGGAAGGGACAATAACGGGATTTAAAAGTTAAAATGATGATCAGGTTTATTTACAACTACAAAAAAAAACATAAATCTTTCCATCCACAGGTTGGGAATAATAAAACTAATTCTGCCTGTGGGGAATTAAAACAAAAGTACAAAAAGGAAAGGGATGTCCCACTGGGCAAAGATTACAGGGTTCTGGACAAAAATAAGAATCTCCAAAGGTCCAAACTCTAAACTGGGCGGTTAAACCAAACTCAAGGTGATATTTTAAACTAAACCGAAAACCCACAACACTCTAAATGTAATAAAAGGGAGATCTGCACCACAAAAAAGATTAACTCTAAACCAAAACGTAACAGCTTATCCAGACGCAAGAAGCTGTTAGTGAAAATGCTAACAGTAGCTTTACCAATGTTAAGTTCAAGTTACCAAGTTTAAATAAACCAAAAACAGCAGCAAACAGACCAGCATGGAGGAGAGACTGCTACCATAAAAACAGCTCTCCTAATGTCTGAAAGAAGCTCCTTTATGAAGGGAGAAACACTCCCGGTGATTTTCTACATCTGCGATAGAGACGAAGCAGCGCATCTGACCCCGGAAGTTGTTGTCCGTTACCGGGAGACGAAGGTGGGCAAAACAGGAAAGGAATCTAGTAGCAGATGGACATTGTTCCGGGTCTTCGGTATTTGGCGGAGATGTTAGTGAAGGCGGAGAAGAGGGCGAACTAGAGGAAAAACAGGCAGATTCCTCCTCTATTTACAAACTCCTGGGGATGCAACAAATGGGCGTGGTGCGTCGACTACCGGATCTGACGTCGACAAATATTTAGAATCGAGCCGGCGACGTCATCGAGGCTTTGCTACAGCCCTATGTATAGCGCTTCACTAGTACTGGGCGATATAAACGGTACAGTATACGATAGAAATGAAATACATTCGGCCAACAATAGAGGTCTTGACTGTACTGACCTACTGCTTTGGTGGATGTTGATGAACGCTATAAATGTGGTCAGAGGAGACTAAAACATAATAGTATAAATGCCACTGCTGTGTTCGAAGGGGAGAGAACACCGAGTTGCATCCCAAGAACATCACACTGTGAAGCATGGTGGTGGAAACATTATGATTTGGGTTTGCTTTTCTGCAAATGGAACAGGAAAAGAATAAGTGGGGCCATGTGAGTGCAAAAACCTTCTTCCATCTGTGAGAGCATTGAAGCATGGTTGGATCATCCAATGACCCCAAGCACACCACCAGAGGAGTGGCTACGTAAAGAAGCATTTAATGGTTCTAAAGTGGCCTAGCTAGTCTCCAGATCTCAATCCAATAGACTCCGTTGAGAGAGTTGAAAGACCATGTTGCCCAGCGACAGCCCCAAAACATAGCAGCTATAGAGATTTGCATGGAAGACTGGACTAAAATACCAGCTACAGTGTGTGCAAACCTAGTGATGACCCACAGGAAGTGTTTGTCAGCAACAAGCAAGGCTACAATTCAAAAGTATTGAGGCAAACAGTTTGTTACTAGATTTTCTGGATCATTATGCAAACAAATTTTTGAAAGACCAAGTTCACTCATTTCTTTTCAACACATGTGCAGTGATAGCCTGTCGGAGGGAAACACTCTTGCACTCTTGTTTCAGGAACTAGAAGAGAACCAGAGGAGATTTTAGCAGAAGATGGCAGGAATCTTATTTCCTGATATTCTGACATCTCACCTCTGATTGGCTAACAGCAACGTGACTCCACCACTGATTTGGTTTGCTTAAGCTGGGCGTACACTGTGCGACTTTTTCACTCATAGCACTCAGCTTCAGCTCAAACTGTACGACTTCCTCGCAGGGCAGATCTCACGAGCCATGTGCTCACACTGCACGACCCAGTTCTCGGATGCGACCCGACTGCTCACATTGTACATCTGGCAGCAGCACGTCGGACCTAAAAATATGTTAAAAATAGCAGTTTTTACATGACACGTCAGACTTTTTTGTCTTGCCTGTTGTCCTTCGGGAGTGCTGCAGTAGGACACACAAGGATTTATGGGGGTTGGATGAGGAAAACGAAATAAAGAAAGTAAATCTGTGTTTTGTGATCAGTTTAATTTGACATGAACACGACAAACGACAATCTTTGTGAATAAAAAAAATGTGTAGAAAGAAAAACCAACAACGTGTGTTTTTAGGGAAATAGCGGGCGAGCGGTGTTGATGCAGGATTGCGCATGCGCCGTGAGCGGTTATGATACTTTTTGGGTCGCAGCGCCGCTTCAACAGTGCGATACCCTCACGAGGGACGAACAAAATATCAAACACGCCAGAAGTCCGTGCGAGCTCACGATTGCTGATCGGTAGCTGGTCACGTGGTGTCAATCACCTCTCGTAACCCCCTGTCCACTACACCACGCTCCGCGCTAAACTCGCCCGATCTCGTGGATTCTCGCACGAGTGGAAAATCGGCTCAAAAAAGTGAAAAAGTCGCACAGTGTACGCCCGGCTTTAGCAACGTTGATGTTTTATCTAAAACAGATAAACAAGTCTGAAGGTTTCTCAGTGAACTTGCTCTTTAAAAATCACAGTGTGATTCCCTGGATTGCTTATTTATTCTGCCTCTCACAGTTGAAGTGCACCTATGATGAAAATGACCAACCTCTTATCTGTCTGTTACTGCCAAATACTTTTTTGCCTACTGCATGAACATAAAAAAATAACATATCATGATAAATTTTATTACTACATATGATTCAGATTATTGTTTAATAGAGATTTGAGGCCATACCGTTCATCCCTACACTTCACAAGTATAAAAGTGAACCGTGACGCCTTTAAGCTCTGCTCGTCACAGTAAATCTGGGCTCAGGACCACAGAAAACAAAGCTTTCGTTAGACGGTGTGAATCAGTAAAGGTATTCCTGAGGTAAGGAGGAGTGTGTAATACTGAGTGAGAACATCAAGTCATGCTGGCGGTCTGCAACAAGCCTCAACATGGAGCTGAGTCTAAGGGCATGGCTGTCAGTCAAGACAACCACTCATCTGTCTGCAAAAGCAGAAGCTAAGCACTCATGAGAAATAGCCCAGTGGGCAGAAAAGAGACGGTGCATTTTCACTGAGGTGGGATCGAGGCTGTTTAATTTTACATGACCCTGGAAACTCTTCACATACACACACTTCCTAGGGTCCCAGAGAGGGAATTAATGAGAGCTCCCACTCACTTTCAGACGAGCAAAGCTGTTAATCTGCAATCCTTTAATTCTACTACTCAACACTTGAAGCTCTGCCCAAGTTGCTGAATTCATACATGTCGTTACATGTATTTTTGATCACAGCTGCACTGTGCAAAGAGACCACAGCAGACTCCTGCAGCTCAGGTCAAACGCTGTTATTCTGCTGGAGAACATGAGAGACGGGATCAAGAGGAGGATTCAGGGGATAACTCTGGTTTCTACCAACACAGAAATGCTAGACTTTTCTATTCTCATGTGGAGTTCAGACAGAAGAAAGCTCAAAAAACACAACAGGCAGCAATTAGGTGGAGCCGGAAATGTGATTAAACAACGATATGTGGGAAAATTAGGCCAAACAGAAAGGACGCAGAGGTATTTGCAGGACTGTGAGGTAACCTGTCCACAAGAGAAAGAAAAGAAGAGTCTGACACATCTTCCATTAGCGCCCTGGGTAGGTTTTTTCCTGTGTGAGGTTGTACAATCCTGTTAATCCAACATGACAGCCCTCCTCACCCCTGTGATTGCCCCCGCTCATTCTCAAGTTACCACGCAGCTGCAGATCAAGGATGATCATGTCCTTCACAACATCACAGAGTCCCGCCTTGAAACAGCTGTAAATAGGCTGCAAACAGCCACAGGTGGCCACATCGGCACAAGATCAACAGGAACAGGGACAACAAATTTAAAAGAATCTAATATAAAAAGTAGCCAAGAAAGTTCAGCGTGTGTGCCTGTTCTCTGGGCTTTTACCCTTTTCTACAACAAAAAACTCCAGTGACAGGAAGCAGAGATGTAGGAGAGGAAAAAGGGGCAGCAACATGCGCATTACGCCAACAAGAAAAGCTAGGAGTGTGGTCAAAGTGTCTCTATTAACTTTTCAAAGAATAATTAGAAAAATAATTAACAACTCATTACATGCCACTCTACAGACAGGAGAAGACAGACGAGGAACCTATTTGCCCCCTTCTGCTGTCAGCTGGTGTCTGTCTCTTTAATTATCTAGAGCTCAATTACAATTAGTCTGAGTAAACATTATTGAAGGAATACAAAGGTGAATTAAGCCAGATGACTGCTTCGGTGATGCCAGCTCACATTTATACCACCGAGGCGGAGGTCTAGTGTGGAATATTAATGTAACACCAGGTTTCTTAGAATAACGCCTCCCGTTTCGTTTCAATTATCACAGCTTTGTCGATGCGGTCGCATCATTTAGAATTAAAAAACAATTATAGGTCTGAGTAATTACTGGGAAACTTGGCTACATCCTATGGGAGATAATCATTTCACCTCGTGAGACTTGGAGGTCTGAGCCACAAATCCTCCACCGTGGAAGTGAATCACAAGGCAGGGAGAGGAAGGCAGGCGCTTGGTCTTCAGGCCCAGGGATAGAGAGATGGCACCCCCCTCAGATCGGCAGAGAGATAGCAGAGTTTCACTGTCCTACAGAGGACGAGCGAGGCATCAGAACGTTCAGCAACAGAGTAAAGGGAAACAACCAAGTCAAAATTTTACTTCATCAATGATCACATTTATCCCACACGTGTTAAAACATGCAAACAATATAAGCTACAAATAAAGTGGAACTTTCTTTATGACTGATTTTGTTTTGCTAGCACCAGAGATGAAAGCTGGATTAACTAGTTCTACAGATACCAGGTGACAATCCAACCTGCGCCTGCAGAAATTCGCTTTAATTTGCATTTACAGAAACAAAAAGTGAGGATTTCTGCTTGTTCCAGGGTATCTGCAGGTTGAAGGGAGCCAAATTTAAGACTTTTTAAGACCTTTTTTAAGGCCACTTTGACCAAATTTAAGCAATTTTTTAAATTTAATTTAAGCTATAATTTCCAGCTACTGCCTGGAACCGGTGCTAACCACGTCGCGAACGTGGGATTAGCCATCCAGTTACCATTAAACTTGCACTTCCCCATGGCGCAAGCTCCCACTAGCTTAACCAGCTAATGTGCTCATCTAAAAATAGCCCCCTTTCACAACCAAATGAACGTGCACGGTTCCGCTTACGCCAACATCACACACAAAAAAATGCTGAAGACTAACTAGAAATTCACGAAAATTTTATAGGAACAAAATAATCTTGTTTATTGGGTCTTTGAAAATTTAAGACCTTTGGAAACTGTATTTAAGGATTATTTGTCATTTTTAAGGATTTTTAAGGCCTTAAATTTGGAAAGGCAAATTTAAGGCTTTTTAAGACTTTTTAAGGACCCGCGGATACCCTGTTGTTCAAACTTGTGTTCTGTGATAATCATCGGGAAATCGGTGTCACGTTAAAGCAAGGTCCCTGGCTGAAGATAGTCGGTGTCAGAATGTCTGGGTGAATATGAGGGAGCTAAAAGGAAATGAAACATCTGAGAAAATAAAGAAGGGAGAGAAATCAAGTGTTAGAGAACATAGTTGAGGATGTAGAGCTGATACTTGCAAATTTTGCCAGAAATAAAATACAAAATCACCTCTGCAATCAGGTTTAAATTCATTTCTTTGACTGGGTTGGTAAAAAAAAAAAACTAAGACAAAGAAATAAGTCAGAAATAGTTGCTATTAAAATATAAAAGAACCTTCACAACAAATGAGCCGGTCCTTTAAAATAAATGGTGAGCTTTAGTTTGGCATTGAGTCAAAATCATTCAATGAAAAAGCTTTTTATCTCATCGCAGTGTGGGATGTCGATGACAAGCACCTGTCCTTCACGCAGGTCGTAGGAGATGAGTCTCATCTGGACAGGAGCAGAGCCGATGTGTGCCGACGGCGGAGCTATGGTCACAGAAGCTCTGTGGTTGGCTGCCAGTGGGAGGTCAAAGGGCACAGGGGGCACCGATAGAGCGCGGTTCACCTTAACTTGAGTAGATGTCATACTGGCAAGGCTCTGCAGACAAAGAACAGAAGAGAGGGAGAAAAAGGCAGGGTGCAAAGAAAACATAAAGTAAGTTCAAAAGATGGTTAGGTCACTGGAGAGAAGGAGAAAGCAGATGAATAAATCATGGACCTCACTGGATGAACTGCATTCCACTTTATTATTACTTATGGCCTTTAGGCCAAAATGCATAAAGATAGAAAGGGACTATTAGAAGACCAAAGTACAACATACAGCTTTAAAATCAAACCAAGGCCACCTCAGACCTTTATTCACCCCTGCATGTGGAGAATAGTCGTGCATCACGGGTATTACTCACCGAAAGGATCTCCGTCTCCGTGATGTTCCAGAAAGCCTTCCAGAAGTGGACATCCAGGTTCTGGGTGATGCGCTCAAATTCTGTACCTCTTAACTCCGGATCAATGGCGTACTTCCCTGAAGTAAACAAAGAGCTGGCTGCTACGCCTGGGAGGGTGGTGGGAATAATGGGAATAATGGGAATAATGAAGGGGTCAGAATGAGGAAAAGATGATAAAAAACAAACAAAAAATAAGAAACGTAAATGGTAAGTAAAGAGTGAAACTGAAATTAATCATTAATAACAAAAAGCTCTCTTGAAAATTAGATTGTTTTTATCTCAAGGTATTTCCTGAATAAATAAGGGTTAAAATGTTTTTTGAATGAAGATGAGTAAAGGATGGAATGAATAATAAGAGGCGAGACAAAAAATTACATAAGCAGAACAAAATGAGATTAAAATGTAATACAAGAAGGAAAGAAACAAAACGCTGTCAATAAACACGTAAAAACACGAAGACTTTAGGTGGAAAAGTCAGTTTAAACCCGTTATTTCTCTTTCTGTGTGTATCAGACCTGTTGTGCTGACGCCGAATTAGACTGAAACTTTCTTTTAGGATTTGCTCACATCCAAAAAGTCAAAGTTAAAGATTATTAATGAAAAAAATAAACATACGTCTCCAACTTAAAAACTCAAAAATACAAATACATCAGGGCTACACGATATTAGGAAAACCAGCAATAATCTCTAACAGTGATTAATATTACGATGACAATATTACTTGTGATGAATAAAAACTTAAAGGGACTGTAAGGAAGTTTGAAGTTTTTATGTTCGCGATCGCCACTCGGGCCTAACGCGTAACTGCAGCTTCAAAAGTAAGAGGACAGAAGAACACAGCAAATTAATAAAGATAATGTGCCTCTGTCTCTGCAGCTGCACTTTCTCATCGGCCGGCCGAACATGCAGTGTGTGTGTGTGTGTGTGTGTGTGTGTGTGTGTGTGTGTGTGTGTGAGTGTGTGTGACCCGGAGGACAGAGGACAGGAGAACGTGCAGCTAATTAATTAAATAATTTGGTTCTGTACCTTTCTCTTCAGCACAGCCGACAAAGGTTTATGATGGGTCAGTCCTCCTGCATGCTCACATCATTCCCTTCCCTTGCTTGAAAAATTGTTCCAAAATGAAAGTTGAACCCACATCTTTTTTATCTGTGAATTCAATGCCGTTCGGCGTGTCTCAAATAAAAGTTTGGGCATCTTACTGTAAAAAATATACCATTAATGTAAAAAAGAAACTTCAAATAACAAATTAAGTTCAAACCCGGAATCAAACCCAGGTCTTCTGCATGAAAGTCAGACGTCTTATTAGGTGAGCTAAAGCGCCAGTGACGTTGAATCTATCTGTAACATTTATATCCTTGATGACAGCTGAAACGTCAATCCAAAGAACGGTTCAGAGTGAAAATGGCTATTTTGTTGCTAATTTGCAGGAAATATCTAGAAGAAAGTTCTACAGAAAGTAGCTAAGGGTCCTCAGAAATGTAGCTAGGTTTGTCACTAGGCGTTAGGAACAGCGACAAAGTGGCACTGCCTCTCTCTCTGCTGCTAAAGCTACTGATAGCAAATGTTACGGGCGATGCCTGAGCGTGAGCGCGCATGAAGCAGCCTGCTCGACCCGAGCATCTCTCTTTTTCTGTGATTTTACAGAAAAACAGGCAATCACAGTAAAAATGCCAGGGCTCACTCTACAGGACCAGGGCATTGCAGGAGAATGTATGAAGAAGGCATTTATTATTTCTGTACATGTTTTGGCTGTCAAACTTCCTTATTGTCCCTTTAACTCAGGAACAAAAATAATCAAAAACAAAGAAATAAAAAAATCATTAAAATGAGAAAAGCTAAAGATGTCAGGAAAGGGAAAAAGAAAACGTACAAGAAAAGGCCATCAGTGGATCCCGGGAAAAGCAGAACTAAGCTAACTCAGGTGTTTGCTAACCATCAAAATTAAGCGCCGTCCACCTCAGGGGCGGGCATCTGACCTATGAGAACCCACCCAATTGGCCAAATGGGTGAAGAGCTCTATTTGATTTGTTAAAAAAAACATCATGCTTCTGTTTGATTGACAGAATGCATCATGTGTAGCAAACATTTGAGCTGACCATTCATTGCGATATTTATCTGTTCTTTGCGATATGCATATTGTGCATGCTGATATCACGATAACGATATATTTACGATATATTGCGCAGCCCTAAAATACATGTAAGTGCAAAAATAAGTTGTGTAATCTTAGATTTGGTATGAAAACTGTTTTTTAAGTAGAAAGAGTTCCAGTCCACTCACCATAAGGTGCAATACCTCCTATGTCCACTGTGGTGCAGCACAAAGTACAAAAAGCATCAGAGTGAGAGAATTCTATATGTTAAATATTTATATGTACAGTATGTGTGCACAACCGTGTATATGATCTTCTTCTTTCTATGCCTCTGTACTTAACTGTGTGTGCAAAACACTCTGAAATATACAAGAAACACATCAGCTAGCCCTCGAGTTTGCAAAAGATGAAAGAGCATCTACAATCCAAACACACTACATCAAAAAGGTACACAGTCGGGGGCCGGGGAGGATTGAACAGCGATGTGAGGATGGACGAGCATGGTGCATGAATGAGAAAGATGTGGCTGAATGATGATGAATATGATGCTGACCTATTCCTGAATGGTGGCGCTTATAGTTTTCTCCAAAGGCTACGAGGCCGGTAGCGAGGGTCTGGAGACACGGTCGTATGGCTGGAGTGAACTGGAGAGAAGGAGAAGAAAGAAATACAAAAGTATTTTAGATCTTCACTCAATCTGTGGTTCATTTACAACAAGATTATGTTGGTGCAGATTCATGATGGCTTTAATAGTTAAATTTGTACTGTTATCTTTGTTATGGCTCAAAAGGGTGCTTCTACTAAATACTGAGCAAAGGGTCTGGAATACTTTGCACCATGTAAAAAAATCACTTTGTCTTTTTGAATAAATCTGCAGAAATTTCTGAAATTCTTTGTTTTTCTGTCAAATGGGGTGTTGTGTGTACATTAATGAGATTATTTGATTTTAGCAAATGGCTGCAATATAACAGGGTGGAAAAATGGACAGGGGGTCTGAATACTATTACTATTATATTTACTACTATATTACAATTATTAATTACTATTAATACAAAGAATAATGCACGGTATTTTATCAACACATTTGCAGTGGTCTCTAGTTTAAATCAATGCCTTGTGAGTCAATCTCTGTTTCAGGAGATCCTGCTCTGTTCGCAGTTCCTGTGCGATAAGTAGGGTTGTCACGGTATGAAAATTTAACCTCACGGTTATTGTGACCAAAATTATCACGGTTTTCGGTATTATCGCGGTAATTTTTAAACGGTGTTGCATATGTTCAGAAAGCATTGATAGTCCTGTTCTACACAAACTGAAATAGTTCTGAAAAGGTTTAACAGTGTTTATTAAACCTAAAATAACACAAAGCCTTAGCAAAAGTGCAACTTTTCACAAGTAAAGGAACAAATAGCTTATTTTTCTGGAACATGTTACAGTAGTCAGTGCAGGTTTAAATGATACAAATCCAAACATTCAAAACATAAACAATATGTAAACAAATGAAAGAAACACCACTTGTTTTCTCATATACTTGTTTTCTTCATTATCAAAATGAAAATCTAAAACTCCAGTCCACACTTGACTTGAGCACTGTACAAGTCAACCTTAAAAAATATGTATTTAAAATAAATAGCCACTTTAAACAAATTACTAAAATAACTACTACACTATGTAATCAAATCCAAATGTTCAAGTATAAATGGCATTGAATAAGTAAACAAATCAATGACAAGGAACTAATTGTATATTTCTCTTCATCATCAACAAATAAGATGCTTCATCCAGCAACAGGGTGTCCGTGACACGGTTTAAATGCTGGCAGAGGACGCTGCGGCTGCAGTCTATAGTGACTCGTTGCATTCTCCCTCAACCAAAAGTCCTCACGTCATGCATTTAAGCTAAAATGCTAATGTTAACTTACCTTGCACTGGCTGTAGAGACGTGGGTGATGGTCACGCAGATGTGCCATTAGATTCGAAGTGTTGCTGCCTTTTGCAGACACTTGTTTCCTGCACCTTCTGCAAACGGGATAGCAGTCTTCTATTAACTGTCCCTCAGCATTTTTCAGAAATCCAAAATATGCCCATACTTCCGATTTAGTCTTCTTTGAGGGCTGATGGATGTCCTGGGCGCTGCCGTCTCCTCCTTCGGCCATTATTTCAGCTTCAAAGTTTTGGTGCCGTTGCAAACTAAAAAGTGCGCGCCGCGGGAACTTCAGCTGAAGCGACGGTGGCTGGTAAGGGTCACCACGCCGAAACCGCGGCCACGGTAAACCCACCGAGATAATTTAGTTTTTTAAAAACTGGACGGTTATTTTTATTGTCAACTTTTTTACCGGGGTTTACCGTTATACCGGTTACCGTGACAACCCTAGCGATAAGTCCAGTTCTCATCGTTAGATCTCTGATCATTGGCTTCTCTCTCTCTCTGAATTTGTCAGAGGTAGCTGAGACCAAAGAACACCTGACTGGCACCACACAACTATGAGGAGATTGCCAGAAGCTTAGAGGCCCCGTAGGAGTGCTACAACAGCAATTATGACAAAAGTTGCCAAAAATGGGGCAAAAAGGTAAAATAACTTTAGTTTTTATGGCTTTTTTTGGACGTTATCCATTGCATTCAGCATTCTCCTGTATTCTAAAGGCATAGCTTAGGGGTGGAGCTTGAAGAAAGGGGGTTGGACCTTTGAATAACTTTGTCCAGGTTCATCTACTCTACTTTTAACTCGAAAGAGGGCGAATGATGAAAGAAAGCAAAGAATAACCTCAACTGCCATTAGTTTATCAATCTTACCTGCAAAAAACACACTTGGAAGAAGAAATTCAAAGTTAAAACAATAATATCTCTCACCTGAAAGCCCAGGCAGCGGCCATAGAAGCACCCTTTATGCATAGATGCATATTCTCGGACGAAACTCTCACTGAGTCCGCTTTCATCCTGAAAAAACAGGTTGCCGTGTCTGTTGTCGTGTAGCAGGCGCTGAGCCAAATACAGCAAGGCACGCAGCTGGCACAGAGCATTACAGTACGCCTCCACCTCCCCCGCGTTATGCGCTACTCGGAAGAAAATGCTGCGACGGTTGGTCGTGATGTAGCGCCCCTTGTGGATGATGTGAAGAAGGCAGCAGCGCACAACCTAAACAAGGTGTCAAACGTTTGGGAATTAATTACGAAAAAGCAAAAAGAAACGTGCAAAGTTTAAATCCCTGCATACACCTAAAGGGAAAGATTCATTAAACAAAATTACAAACTAATTAGGTCGATGATAAGTTGCCACGAAACACAAGAACACAAAGATGGGGGAAAACCCCACGTGTTTATTTCTAAGTATCTCATAGTTTGGTGCCTTCATTAGAGACAACTCCTCCAGGTGTGCTTAAGGCCGGGGACACACCGGCCGCCGAAGTGCTGTGAAATTGGGACCGCCTTCATTCGGCGCCCTTGTTATCATATTCTATAGACCACATAGGCCGCCGAAGCGCCACACGCCAGAGCTCCAGCCCGCGCCGTGCAGCGATCGTTTCGGCGTCTGCTCTATTTTTTTCGCGAGCCGCAAGTGGACCGCATCAATTCTGGCAGGAAGTCAAACCTAGACATAAGAGGCAGGCTGGTAAATTTAACAAAATAAAGCTTTTCAAAATACAATTCCACGATAGTCAAATGTGTTCGTAAACAGACACTGCATAAAAACCACACACACACACACACATACACACACACACACACACACACAGAGCGAACTTGTGTGTGTGTGTGTGTGTGTGTGTGTGTGTGTGTGTGTGTGTGTGTGTGTGTGTGTGTGTGTGTGTGTGTGTGTGAACCTATGGTGTGAACCAGTTATTAATAGCTGGCCTACGACTTTCTGCCTCTCTGTCCTGTTTGCTCCGGTTGAAAGACACCCAGAACCACACCCCTTCACGTGGTCTCACACACATACAAGTTTGCTGTGTGTGTGTGTGTGTGTGTGTGTGTTCGTGTGGTTTTTATGCAGTGTCTGTTTACGAACACATTTGACTATCGTGGAATTGTATTTTGAAATGCTTTATTTTGTTAAATTTACCGGCCTGCCTCTTATGTCTAGGTTCGACTTCCTGCCAGAATTGATGCGGTTCACCCGAGGCTCGCGAAAAAAAAAGAGCAGACGCCAAAATGATCGCTGCACGGCGCGGCACTTCGCGACACTTCCACGGCCCATGTGGTCTATAGAACAGGATAACAAGGGCGCCGAATGAAGGCGGTCCCAATTTCGCGGCGCTTCGGCGGCCGGTGTGTCCCCGGAATGTGTCTGAAAGTGAGCATGCCTCGGAAACAGAAGCTTCCTGCTCACCAGGGTTATGAGAACAGAACAGGAGGGATGAAAACGATTATGAATGTGAAAATCAGGACTCTTGAAAGCAGCTGCATTTCTTTTCTAACAGACACGCTGAGCTGTGTCCATCTACACCAGCTGAAGTCGATATCCGAACAGGAGGAAGAACAGTGAGTACAGTAGCGGTGAGTGCTTCCACAGCGGGGAGATTTATCCTCCCCAATTTGCAACATGAAATCAATCTTTGCAACAAATATACTGACCTTGAAACTAAAGCAAAACCTGGTCAAAGACGAGCTGCTGAGCCCGTTTCTCACCGGGGGAGAGAATTTAGTTAAGAATGTTTTGGAGTTTGGGGGCTTCTTAGTCTCTGAGCTGCACCGAGGTTGAAATCATAACAAGAATTAAAGACCTGACTCAGAAACAAAAACACAGCTTACCTTGACTAGCGAGCGATAGCCATTAGCTGGTATGTGCGGGTCAAAGTCAAAATGATGGTATACGGCGGCAAAGCCAGAAATAACAGGTTCCAGGCTGCGAGCGTGCTCCTGGATCAGCTTCATGGCCCCTACCAGCCGCCGGGCCGCATCGCCCTGTGTCCCCTTGGCTCCGCCCGAGAAGAAAGCGATGTTTTCTTCACACACGCTGTACAGGGCTGCAAACACCGCCTGTGTGTCCATCACTGAAACATGGAAGGCATTGAAAATATATGAATTGTTTTGGCAAAAACATGCCAACACAAAAAAGTTTCTGGTGAATTCTCCAGCTTTCTGATATCATAATTTATACAGCTTCATAAAATCAAAAAAAGCACAATTGAACGGGTCCCTGTGGCTGTAAAGTCTTTGGCATTTTCATGGTCTTCCAAGCGTAGAGGCTGAGCATCTAAGAAGCACGACCCTGTGGGAGATCATTGGTAACAAAATGTCCTCAGTCCTGTTAACTAAGCGCTGATAGCCTGGTGTTACAGGAGCCTGCAAAATGAAATGTGTTAAGCAAGCTGTCGTAGGCCAAGCCACCGGGCTCAAGACCGTGGCTCACGGTGCAATATGGTGGGCTTGACCTCAGACCCCTCCTGACGAACACCCTTACTCTGTGGCGAGATATTTCAGCTTGTGCAACCCAGACTTTCATTACTGGAAAAATCACCGTTATTTTGCTGTCGGAAGACTCGTGCTGCATGTCAGAACAAACTGCATGAGCTCATCACACTCAGAACAGACCCTATCAACTTCTCCTCTGATCAGGTGAACGCTGATGAAAACAACCCGGGATGGAATGAAGCAACCAGCAAACTCACCTTTTGCTGTGCCAGAGGAGGAAAGGAGGCCCCCACGAATTACTTTTAATTCCTTCCCGAAGGAGGGAAAAGTTTATTCCACACACAAAAAGGAAAAAAGGTAATCCAACACAGGTAAGAACAGCTTAGGCTAAATAGGAAAAGTTCTTATAAAAAAACGAGATTCTAGCAGATCCGAGGAAAACAAGCTATCTGTGTGCGCGCGCACACACACACACACACACACACACACACACACACACACACACACACACACACACACACACACACACACACACACACACACACACACACATACACACACACACACACACACACACACACACACACACACACACACACACACACACACACACACACACACTTTTCAGAGCCAGCAGCAACCACCACCTCGATCAGAACCAACAAACACTCCTCCCACCTTCATGCATCATCATTTGTTCTCATTCTTCTGGGCTGTTTCTTTTGTTTTTTTTTTACCATCTGGGATCAAAGATCAACTTCTTGACAGGAAGAGTCATATTTTATTTTTGCAGCACAACCCCCACCCCCCCACCCCACCCCACCTTTGCAGGCCCAGTCTTGATTTTTGTGTTTTAACGCTTCTTCGCCCAGGCAGCAGCCGAGGCCCCCCTCTTCTTTCCTTCCTGTCCTTCTTCACACATGCAGTTCCCTCCAATATACCTTTTTTAGCTTCCATGCTCTTGTTTCTGAGAAGTCAGGCATGCACACTTTTAAGCCCCCTTCAGACAGGCCATGAAAAACGGAAATGTTCCGGACTGTCCGTAAGACCTTTGTGTCTGAATACAAACATCCGGATAACATTTTCCGTAATTTAACCGGACGACGCCCCTAGTAACAGGTCCGGACTTGTTACGGACAAGGTGGCTGCTTCAGACTGGTGAGGTCAAGTTCCGGACAGGGAGGAGGGGACCGGGGGATGCTGTGCGCACCTAGATAGCCCGCTGCTGTAGCATGCGGTGAACCATGGCAGCTCGCCTCCTACGGTACCGTCTAGACGCGCGACGGAGCGCTTCACACTGCTTCAGTGATTCCTTTAACCATTGAGCTTCATCATCCAGGTCTCTTATGCGTCTTCGTGTGCGCAGAATTATGCTTAACATAAGTCCGACCCCCCCACCCCCCCTCCCTCAGACATCTGGAACTTTTCCCTGCTGTGTGAAGGCAGCCGAAAGGACAAGTTCTGGTACAAAAGTGGTGTGTCTGAAAACACAGTTCTGGTTAAAAAACGGATTGAATTGTCCACACATATTCCAGAATGTCTGTCTGAAAAGGGCTTTGGAGTCTTGGTTCTGACAAACCCAGTCAGCTTGCGCTCTTCCACAGAACTTTTATCTAATTATTTATTATAGTTTTATTTCTCGTTTTACATAATTTTATTTTATTACTGGCTTTGGATGTTTTATATGATTATATTTTTGCACTGTTTCATTATTTAATAATATTATAATTTTACTGTCCATATGATTTTATTTAATAATTATATTATTACTTTTGTCATTTATATTAGCTCTTTTATTTTCATATTTTTACTCATTACAATCCAGTGTTTTCTCTGTAGGGGCCCTCTGTCCCAGGGGCGGTGGTCGACTGTTGCTTCTTGGGCGCTCTACAGGTAGTGTTTAAGTGGAGGTGGGGGTCAATGCTCCCCCTCCTCTGAGCGCCCCGACTTAGTGTGGAAGACCTGATGCTGCCGGGGCAGACGGCTCCTCTGATGGCGCTTCCTTGCCATACTTTGCTCATCTGGACTCAGCCGAATATACATTTTTACTGATGTGATTGTGTGTGTGTGTGTGTGTGTGTGTGTGTGTGTGTGTGTGTGTGTGTGTGTGTGTGTGTGTGTGTGTGTGTGTGTGCGTGTGCGTGTGTGTGTGAGTGAGAATGTTTTCAAACTGTTTTGGGAATTTGGGGTCCTTTTAATTGTGTAAAGCACTTTGTAAATACAATTTGACTGACCTGACTGACTGATTGATTGAATTGGGTGCAGGACGGGGGGGTCAGTAGGCTGGAGGTCAGAGGTTTCCACACAGAGAGGAGCTCGGCTCAGGCTTGAACCACGTTATCAGCGAGCCCCAAGTCTCCTCTCAACACAAGCCTTAAAATTAAAAGATGGCTAAGGCTAAGTCGCCAACCCCCCACCACACCCTTGAGATCCACGCTGGCATGCATAAACCAGGAAGAGAAGGTCGGGTCTCTCTGCTGAGATGACGCTGCGCCAAACAAACAAATTGTACGGAAACGGACAAAAACATAACAACACACTGACATAATAGTCCCTGAGGGAGGGATCCAGCTGACAACACACAGCTGGGTTTATTTACCAAGCGTGCTCATATCTCTGTCCTAATGTAAGATAAAGATCAGGCTCTGTGATCCCGCTGGATTGTCCTCCTCTGTTCAGTCACCCGAGACCTCAGTTTCCACAGCAGTTCTGGGAACGAGCTGGTTCTAACGGTGGAATGCAGCTGGTATGCTGAGACGCAGAAGTAAGAGAAGACGAGGTATGGACAGAAAGCAAAATGTAAGATAAACATCCATTTCTCACTGAGAAAGGGAGATTTTTCATCTATATGACACTACTTTGTTCTAGCTGACCTTAGATGACTTGTGCATGAGTTATGGAAAAACTCTAATGTCTTTAATAATCCATAAACAATATGGAAAATACATTATGAAGTAGAAAAAAATAACACAGTCAGATTAAAATATAATCGGGATGCTGGATATTGGCTTTTATATCTGGTATTCCAGTATAACTTAACTCAGATATAAACCCATATAGACATAAAGGGTTCCTCCCTTCGAGAAAGAAAAACTAAATTATTTTAGACAACTTAACATCGATAATCTATCATGCATACTTAAAGGGACTTTACGGAGTTTTGAATTTTCATGCTTGCGATTGCCCCTCAGGCCAAAAGCGTAACGGCAGGTTCAATAGTAGGCTCATGCACGAGGCGCGCATGCTGTACGTGCACACTCCTTCACGAAAATAACATTTATATCCTTGATGACAGCCGAAACAACGTTCAAAGAACGGTTCGGAGCGAAAATGGCTATTTTGTTGCTAATTAGCAGGAAATATCTAGAAGAAAGTTCTACAGAAAGTAGCTAAGGGTCCTCAGAAATGTAGCTAGCTTTGTCACTAGGCGTTAGGAACAGCGACAAAGTGGCACTACCTCTCTCTCTGCTGCTAAAGCTACGGATAGCAAATACTACGGGCTATGCCTGAGCGTGAACGCGCATGAAGCAGCCTGCTCGACCCGAGCATCTCTCTTTTTCTGTGATTTTACAGAAAAACAGGCAATCACAGTAAAAATGCCAGGGCTCATTCTACAGGACCAGGACATTGCAGGAGAACGTATGAAGAAGACATTTATTATTTCTATACATGTTTTGGCTGTCAAACCTCCATAATAACCCTTTTAAACTTTAAATGTTTCCTGTGCAAAATATGACAACTACTTCAAGTTAAGCCAGTTGTGCAAAGAAACACCAACATATTGAAAGCTAAACCTCGGATCAGTCATGTTTAGACTTTTTGAGCGAGAGAAGTAGCTGAAGAGTTTGAAGTATAATACGTGCATGGTGTGTAGAAGTGGTGGCACTGAACCCAGTGAGTGGTGGCGGATGGCTGCTACTGAGCCAGGATCCTCTGGAGGTTTCTTCCTGTTAAAGGGGAGTTTTCCTCTCCACTGTCACTACGTGCTTGCTTACTATGGGGATTGATGTAAAGTCGACTCAATGCAACCTGCTGGGTTTCCTTACTTTTTACTAACTGGCATAATGAACTGAACTCAACTGGAGTGTTTACTTTGTGAAGTGTCTTGGGACGACTCTTGTCGTGATTATATAAATAATAAAATAAATTTTATTGGAAAACTGATCACTTCCGATGCTAACATGGACCAAAAGTATCGGACAAGCCTAAAGTAAAATAAATAAACTACACAACAAAAAAGACATTTGCACTGATGTCCTGGGCTGTGTGAAAGTGATTATTACAAGTGAAACAATACTCCCACAATGAAATATCGTCTCCAGGGTCAAAGTAATAATTGAGCTTTTATAGCAAAAATATTATCGTTTCAGAATGAGAAACAGAAAAGATGATTTCAGTTTGCTGGAGTAAATCACCCCCCTTCATCCCTAACATCTGCTGAGACATTAATCAGCCAGACAGCCTCTTACAAGCACCCATTCTGCATGAAAAATGTCTATAACCATCCATCTGTCAGATCTAGCAGCTAGTTCCTGCCTCCTATAACTCTCCACCTTCACATTTGACCAACTTATTCATATCCCATAAAATAATCCTGATCAACAGAACAAAGCAGGACAAATTTCACCAAGAGATTCTA